CTTCGTTCATTATTAAGAAGTACATTTCTACAAGAGGCGGTCTGGAAGAAGCCACTTCATTACCATGTCCATGTCATGTTATCTTTTATGTGTAGAGTGGGGAGTAGTAATTTCAAAATTTGAAGAAACGTTTCCCAGAAGCGATATATTCATCTGCATAATATGTCCCAATAACAAATATGGATAAGAAACTAACACAGTATTTAACTTTAACATTTCTTTGTCAGAATTTATAATGTAATAATTCAATGATGAAAGATTGTGGCTAGATTTGTATTTGCTATCTTGCATTCTTCAAAATTATTATGAAACCCAAGATGGGTTGAGCAGGAATTGACTTGCTTGCAGCTTTGAGAAGGAATTCACCCAACAAATAAGGCATATTTAATGTCTGGAACTCATTAAAAGAATAAGCAAAATAGATGTATCAAGTGACAGATAAAAGAATAAGCAAAATAGATGTATCAAGTGACAGATATCGTGTATATATCTCATAGTACGTCCTGCCAGAGTGTGAACCAATAACCCGTGGTGTCCAGACTTCTGATAGAGGATATTCTTCATCCTTCAGAAGTATTGCTTTCAGGGATAAAAGTAATGAAACTCAAACGGAAATTTTTGTTTCTTTTCATGACGATATTCTGTAATGAACATTTTAGTATGGAGAGTAATTTCTTGTTTATAACATAGCTGTGGGACCCACGTCCTCTTCCTTGCTGTTCGCTGGGTGGAAAATTTCAGAAGTGGTATTTTCTTTAACATTTTCTTACTAGGTAATTTATAAATACAGCAGGGTACAGACAGGACCTTTGATGAGAGAATGTGAATGCACTATAGGAACATCATCACATGCCCTTTCTTTCCTCCTATTCAATAGAACTGCTAGTGAAGGGAAAACTGTAGTTGATAGGGCCTGCATTACGTGTCATATTTTTCTGCACATCCATGATAGGTTTGTGTTCTGAAATGTCCATACTGCAAGGTTATGGACAGCTGTACTTCCCATTCATAAAATTTTTCATTTTAAGGATATAATTGCTAAGTAGCTGTAAGCTGAATGAAAGAGTTACATCAGAGTTGCTATTCTTGCAGAGTATGTTTAAAATGGAAAGAGTTATATATGTTTATGTGCTTCCCCCCCCAATTGCTGTACTCTCTTCAACCAGAAACACCAACTGGAGCCTAATTTTACACTTGCACTACCAATTATAAATTTCGGAGAGATGTAGCTTATAGAACACGAATGCTGTGATTCAGGACAGTAGCAACAACTCGGTGAAGACCATTTGCTGTTAGAAGATTGCTCTCTTCTTTGAATATAATGCTGCCACATCATCATCATCATAACCTTTGTGATAGTGTATGTTTAATGTACGTATGAATTCATTTTAAAAAGAACGTGGTTTGAGCTTTAATCTTCGGCAACAGTTTTGTGTGCGTTTAAAAATAAAATCAGCTGATTTGTCATGTATAAAAACACATGCAGAGCATAAGTTTCCACAGCTTAATGCTTAAATCCATTGCCCTCAAAGTAAACTTTTTTAGGTAGGTTACTTAACGACGCTGTCAATGTCGACACTGTGTAGTGTCGATTGTAGGGTGATCAGTGAATGTGGAGCAGTTGTTGAAGTGAGAATTGGTGATGCAAACTGAAAGACTTTAAGAAGACCGACCATGGTGACACTTTGATCACTGCAAATCCGACATTACCTGGCATGGAATTGAACCTGGGCCGTGACAGTCAGACAAGAAACTTTAAATGAGAGTTACACTGTACCATATGTATACCTGATGTGAGAGAATGGCACTTGGCCACTGGTACTTTCAGGCTGGAGGAGAGGTCACTGTATCATAAGTGAAATCGATTACTGTCTTTCACTGATCGGTACCCAAGTGTCATTCTCTTTTGCAGTGGTTACCCAGAGGCCATTGACTAGTTTCAGAAATGAAACATGCTAATAGGCAGATATAATCTCCATGTGAGGCATGTTTAATGCACTGTATTCAGAGATGAGACATGCTGACAAATGCAGTCTCCACATAATACAGCAATTTAGTCAGGTGTGATCTCCACACAATGCAGTGTTTTTACAGATGAAACATGCTGACAGACATATAATCTCCATACAAGCCAGCCATGTAATGCATTGTATTCAGAGATAAATATATGTACTCGTCAGCTCTGCCACACTTGTCTGCTTTCAGCAACTTGAGAACTCTTGAAGAATTTTTCATTAGATAGAAGTAATGAACACTTTATATGAAGTCATACATGCAGGTGTATGCTCATATCAGTCATATTATAGTGAAAAATATTTTGGAGAGAAGTAGAGAAAAATTCATTTTATGCTCCATATCTGAGTCTTACAGTTTTTGGGAGTTACACAAAAGTGATAGGATAGTTGGTATAGTGACTGGCTATGGGCTGGACAACCAAGGGGTTGGAGTTCAAGTCTTGGTAGGGTCAAGAATTTTCTTTTCTCCACATCATCCACACTATCTCTGCGGGCCTACCCAGCCTCCTATCCTATGGGTACCGGGGACTCTTTCCTCGGGGGTAAAATGGTGGGGGCATGAAGCTGACCACTCACCTCTGACTACTGCTGAGGTCAAGAAAACTTGGATGTGTACATCCACTCCTCATGTGTCTTCATGGCATAGTGCTTAATTATTTAAGCAGAGGGACCACTTTACTTTTTATACAAAAGTGAGGGAAGATGCCAGAATTGTTACGGTATGTAAACATTTCCCAGTTAGTATTATTGTCACTTGCTGCTGAATTTGTGCAAAGAATTGTTATCTGTCAGGTATTAATGAGGTGCAAAATCCCGGATGAGGTTTTGTTGACAGATTACATATGTTGAATCCAGGATGCGCACGAGAATAAGATTTAGATTGAAGACACTTTTGTATGTTTCTCCATTCAAAGACCTGTTTTCTCACTGAAACACAAAGAGTCTCAAAAATTTCACACAGTGCGCCTGATTTGTGTACATGTATTTTAAATATTGTTCCTTATGTATCATAAACATTTTTAAGTAATGAAAACTTCTGATGGGTGCATAAGTTCTCATTTCACTATTTCTCATATAGCAGTTTGTATTAATTACTACTTGTAGAGCTTTGCAAAACAACAGTTTCACATTTTATTTTACATCATGCCTCATAACCTACACCTTGGTCCCAAACAACATGATCAAGTGGGTAGCATTTTCAGGAGGTCCCAGGTTTAAATCTCAGCTGGAGGCTAGCTATCCCGACTAAAGTTTCTTGACATTCTGTCCAGGCAAATACCAGAATTGTACCTTAAATTAGGTGACAGACACTTTTTTTCCCACGTCCTTTCCCATTCATTACTCACTAACATCCTGCTATTTGATGCTATAGTCCTGTGTTATTGACAGCATCATTAAGTAAACCGTAAATAAGTGAAACCACTGCACTGGGTTTTGTTTCATTTGGTACTTTTTTCTATCACACTGTATCTTGGATAGGATTGTTCAGCTACTGGATGTTGAGTTTTTATACAATCAGAGTTTTGGCTTTTGTAGGAAATTGGCAGTGTTTGTAAAGCACTGGGATGGGTGCTATGATTTGCTGTTAGGTTTGTGGTCTTCATGCCAGTAACTATGAAGGTTGCTGGATGTGGCATTTGAAGGAATGGACTGCTTCTGTCTTCAGGATCAGAGAATAAGTTAAGCAAGCAGCTAGCCAAGTGTTGAAAGTTCTATGTTCCGTTGAACTGTTGGTAAACTTCTACCAGAAAACAGTGTGACATCCCAGAAGATAGTACCCTTATTATTGTTTTTGTTTATATGCTTATCAGATACATATCTATTTTAGGAGCAGAATGCAGTATGTCACTTTGTAGCCATTTCTTAAAGCGTACAGGTGAATGGGCACAAGAACTGACATTGTATTCACGCATGCACATTCTTCAGAAATTACATAAAAGTGAAGTTTAATCTTCATATATTTTAGCACAGTAGAATATAGCAAAATGAATTGTTCCCTTCTGTGCTTAAGAAAATTTTATTTAAAGTGAATTTAAATTAACTGATCTGCTAGTGTCAGGGTAATAATGAATTTAAATGGTGTAACAAAGGTTTAAAATATTGTCGTGTGTGCATGACTGTAGATGGTGTTTGGTTTGGTAGTTGGATTTATTGAACACTTACAGATTGTAACTATAGTGGTATTGCTAATTCACTACAGCACATACTTGAGTCTTGTTAGTCTGCTGTGTGTTCACTGTGTCTGGTAGTGGCTTCCAACAGTGTCCTCTGCTTCTGTGCTCACATTCTTACTGGCTAGCGACTGTGCCACAACTATCGACTCTGAACTCTACTCCACTTCACTAACTGAAGTACTCACGGTCAGTCGAGTGATATAGCCTCAGAGCAGACCCACAGAGAACACCACTTGCAACATCTCTTCTACTGTGTGTCATATAGCTATCACACAGACCACGTGGCAACACTGCTTCCTGCTGAAGCTCTCCTCTTGTTGCGTGACATCACCACAGATGCAGGCATGACATGTTCCTCTGTCACATGTGCAGCCATTGTTACACTGATAAATTGTTACCTGTGCTGTTACCTATTAATGGCTCTCAACATGCTGCAACCTTCATGAATAACTCCATACATGAAATATAAGATGAACTATGGAACTACAGTGTACAGAGCTAACCACAATGCAGTTGGATTGTGTAACTAAAGCTCCTTGNGTACAAACATTATTCCAGTAGTACAATTATCATCAAGGAGAAGATGTCATATTAACAGTAATTCTGCATGAGTTACAGTACCACAAGGGATAACTGCAGGGAAAATTTCCTGAAAATTATGTTGTTACTTTACATATCCATCACTGACTGAATATCTGATACATAAAAAGTTAATCCATACTTGATTATTCTTTTATGTCAAGCCTAAATTACTATCTGATCAGAATATTTACTGATGTAATTTTGATTTAACTCTTACTGCATGTTTCAGGGAAATCCTCGGAAAAAGAAAGGTGGAGGACCAAACTTACAAGACTCAGCAAAAGATGGCAGTTTGCAGCACTGTAAAAGTGCATGTGTGCAGGATGTTTCAAAGGTGGTTCTGAGTGATACAGGGACATGCATATTACCACCACCAGTTGATGACGGCATTGCACAGCGCAAAGCCAGTATACGGAAGAACTCCTTCTCCCTGCTTGACCCAGAAGGAACCACCATACCATCATTGATTGACCTGAGTCAGCGTGACTATGATGTGAATGCTCCTGTTAGCTCTGGCTTACTACAAGGGCATGATCTACTAAAGGCACTTGAGACTAGTTCAAATACTCTTGTGGATTAGTAATGTTCTCAGCTCAGAGGCAGTGTCAGTGAGAGCATTCGTAGCTGCAGGATGTGTCCATGATTTCAGTTCTTACCAGTGTCTTTTGCCACCAGTAAACAATTTGCTACTTAGCTTGCATTGATTTTAAGATTGACTGCAGTGAGGACCTTTCGTAAAGGTGAATGATTTATTCTTCAGCGATAAGTCATGGTATTCTTACATCATCTGTATTGCAGCATTATCTTGCATATGATTCAAATATTTGACCATGTTTCTGTCCTTTATGCAACACTTTCATTTATGTTCTGAAAATATGGGGATTTTTTGTGACCATTCACAATGTCGCTATGACATGTTGTGGTCATCATTCAACCATCATCAGGTATGTCTGTGCAGTTATTTGAGCTGGTACACTGTATATGATTGAGGAAATTGGCATTAGAATTAATATAAATTGAAATAATCTGTTGTAGTTTAAAATCAGTTCATATTATAGTAAAATCAAAATTAATACTAATGGTAATGCTATTATGTTTTCTTTATATTGTTGAAATACATTATTAGATGGCTTTTCTGTTGTTCGTATGCCCTAGTTTGGTTCAGACGCTTACTTTAGCAAACTGAACCGTATGAACAGCAGGAAATCCTACAGCGACAAAAGAACAGCAGCAGAACATCACACCAGTGAACTGTTCTAACAGTATGAAGAAAATAAAAACATCAATATTGATTTTAATTTCAATCTTACTACAGTTTTAACCAATTTTAAACTATGATGATTTCAGTTTCAGTTGTAATTATGTTAACAGTTGCGTCAAGCATGCACAGTGCACCAATTTACATAACTGCATAGAAATGCCTGATAATGGTTACACAGTGACTGAAACATGTACATAATGGTACTATGAATGGTTAAATAAAACACCATTACAGAATGTCACTAGAATGTTGCATAGAGCAGGATGGAAACACAGTTATAAATATTTAATATGATTCCAGTGTTAAACCCTGAAGGACACATGAACCCATTTGTATTTATTTCACTGATTCAGTAAAATCGTGCCAAATTTGCGCGCTAAATATGGTGGTATATGACAGCATCCTAAAAGAAATTTAGAAAGATGAGAACATTTATGGTGTTTTTGGACAATCCCATGCACTAAGGAAAGTGATGTGTCTGCAGTAGAGTTTCCACTCGTGCTGGAAACATCTATGTGCATTAACACATCACATGGCATTTGTTGCAACATTCCATTTCCCACCACCAGGTTTGTGATGTTGCTTCTAGAATACATATTGTGAACTGATGTTGGTACTTCAATTTTTAACTCATCTAGAGAAATGAAAATATTGAATGTGGCATCATTCTCATAGCAGTTTTTCTTCCTCTGTTTTGGTGGCATGACAGTACTGTGTTGCAGGCTGGCTGGGCCAGCCTGTACTGAACACTTTCCCCACTGTTTTGAGATAGTGATGCTCTCTTTGTTATAAGGAGGAAAACTGGTGAAGGAATTTTATGTCTATTTTTGTGGTCATGATGTAGCATGAAGTGTAATATACTGCCATACGTATTTGCAGAGGATTGTGGAACTAGAATATGACCAAAAGACTCAGTATGTACAGTTACATGGTACAGTTTTTATTCCCAAAATCATTAGTGATTTCTTATATGCAGTTGGCTTTCTTGGAATCTAACCATATTTCATATTGTATTATTAAAACGAATTTATTAGTAGTGAATGAGCTGCAGAAGGCACAATACCCAGCCTTCTGAATGCTGTTATATATATGATGATGGGGTGCATGATATATATTATTTTTACTGAGAAGTATATATTTGTTATTTGTGTAGTGTTGGTTCATACTCACTGCTAGATCTGGGCCCTCCACAGCTCTACATCCCATGGCTGAGGTTGTAGCATTCGTTATTGGGCAGACATTTTAACTCATCACAGAGCACACATCCCCTGTTCCTTTCATGTACAAGTTCATTTTATCACATTTCAGTATCAACATAACTGCTGCTTGTATGCATGTGAATTTTTAAGAGAGGTGGGAACTTTCTTTGCGTATATATGGATACACCTACATTTCATAATGCTTTAACTGTAGGGTTCCAAAATGTTTTATGTATATTTGATTTGCAAATAAAGCTAATGAATTCACAGTCACATGTAAGGTGTTTTGTATTTATTGTTACAACATGTTGTTCTGAAATTTTAAACACTTTTCATATTTCATACAGAACAAAGTTTCGAAGGTATGTATTATGAATTAGTTATAGTACAGAATACCAATATCAATAAAGTTTAAGTGTTGTGAGAAACTATGTCCACTCAGGAGAAAGGAAGCAGCCTTGGCCATGGTATGTACCCTACAATGCTCCTGAGATTTATTTCCACGTTTGAGTTGAATTAGGATCTGTAGCTGATCGATTCTTCATCATGATGGATTTCTTGAGGTGCATTTATTCCTTTTTTTACTTAGTGATTACTGCACTGTAGTTGCAGAGTCTAGATTGACTGTTTTGAAATGTGATTTATTTACATCTGTTATCCAGTTTTAATACATTTTTATTGCAATTTGTTTAATTGTGTGTTGAACCAACGATTTTCAGTTCTGTATGCATGTACAAAGATTGTGCTTATAATTATCACTAATAAAGTGTTCACTTTTTAGCGAGTTACTGTTGTTTGTTTGTCTGTTGTCTTAGATATTGTCTGTATTGACATATCTGGTCTGCCCAACTAGGCAAGGGCACTGAATCCATTTCTGAATGGAGATACTCAAAGGGGAGTTCCTGTTACCCCAACTGATTGGGTAATCATGAGCGTGATGGTTGGAAAAATGGGAAATAGAGGTGAACGTTTTAGTCTAAGCAGAAAAGTCCACGCATATTTGATGATGGATTGAACTCAGTACTTTCTAAATAAGAGTTTGTTTTCTTAATCCAAGGCCATGAGGTCCCAGTTGCACTGCAAGGGAACTAGTAACCATCACTTTGATGTTAACTATGCAACTGGCAGAGTAGTAAAGAAGGTAAACCATGCAGCAAATATGTAAAGCAGGAAATCTGTGTCAAATATTCTCCCTATATGGATCACTACTGCAGAAGTGTTGTGTGTACCTGAACATTTGAAAGAAGTACTGCAGCAATGGGGACATGCTGTAGCATAGTTGGTTGAAGCACCATGCTACAAGACAGAAGGTCGCAGCTTCGATTTTTTCAGTTTACCTAATTCTTCCAGCCGCACTATGGCCCTAGGGTTGACCAAGCCTTTAACAGAAATGAGTACCAGGAATCTTCCTGGGGGTAAGGGGTGACCAGTGGCTAAGGCTTACAAACCCATGGGCTTCCACAGCCTGTTACAGAGATAGCTTTTTACTGCAGCAATGAAAATGTTGTATTGTGTTCTGTGGTTGCCACTTTTGTGCTAAACTGTGTGGTTAGGAGTGCTTTAGCTCACTGAACTCCGCACTCATCCTCCCTATGAAGCTATCCTTAAGTCTCCCCAACCTGCAACAAGTAAGAAATGGTGTAATTTATGATTTCAGCACTGATTTGAGTAAGTTGGCTAAAGCTGTAACAGTTTTGACTTGTATTCTGCAGGTGTACACTTCCTTGAACAGGGCACTGACCATCCTGATTGAGATTTTCATGGTTTTACTCAGCCCTTCCAAGCTAATGGTAGGATAGTACCTTAAGCTAGGTCACTACTACTTCCTTCCATATTCTTTCATGTTTGTTACACTGTCATCCAGCCTTTAATGCTATGAAGCCTGTGTTATTGACAGCATTTTTAAATAAAAATAGTAAATCAATATATATGGACCTAAGAAGGAGCAAGCAAGTGAGCAGTTTTTATATTGCTTAATAAGGAACCTCCTGACTTCCAGGCCACCTAATATTGTCGGTGATTTGAAATTAAGGGAACTGATGGACTGGTCGTGTGGCTGAGGAGACAAATATTTTGATGAAAACATGCGCTAATGAGGAGATGGAAATATAACATTAAGATAGACATATTAAGATGTGTGTTGAAGTTGGTCTGTGGAAGCAACTGGCTTTCAATCATGCCCAATATTGAGATTTGGCATTGGTAATTTTGAACCTTTGGGATTTACTACAACAGCGTTAGTTTATTCATTAAGTGTCAATTCAAGTCCACTGAAAATGTTCCAGTTTTTATAATACAGATCAGCAATACATAAAACAGTGCAAAAGTTTTGTACAGTGGTTTTTGTGCTGAACAAAAATAAAAAAAAACGAAGGCTGTATTCTTTTAACAGACCGCCTCTGTGGTCTAGTGGTCAGAGGTCCCGGGTTCAATTCCCGGTGCTACCATAATTTCTTAGTAGTTGGTCTGGAACGGGGTCTGCCCAGCCTCGTGAGGATAATTGAGGAGCCATTTCAAGGAAATAGCAGCTCCGGTCTAGAGAACCGAGGTTAAGGGTCGTGGGGATCGGTTGCTCTGACCACGTGACACCCCCTATCCGCAAAAGTTGGCACTAACTTCGCCGACAAGCGGCGGTCGCCTGGTCGGTATAGTTCGCTTGCGGACTACAGGCTATGGAGAATGTTTGTTTTGTTTGTATTCTTTTAACAGAGTGACATTTAACAACTGAAGCTATATAGTACCAAAAATAATGGCACTGTTTGGATCTGCAGTATATCATAATACGTAGTAACAACAAATCTGCCAATGATTCAGCCTACAGAATTAAAACAGTTCAAATTCCATGCCGACAAACTGAACCAGAAAGCTTAGTGTACTTCTTGAAAAATAACTTGTGTTTTATTCTCATGAAGTGTGTTTTCAGCATAATTGCAGAGACCAGTCAGTTTTCAAAGTAAATTCGACATTCTGACGGCCTCTGTGGTCTAGTGGTCAGAGTTTCTGGCTACAGATTCAGAGGTCCTGGGTTAGATTCCCGGCGCTACCAGATTATCTGAGAAGCAGTGGGTCTGGAACGGGGTCTGCTCAGCCTTGTGAGGACAATTGAGGAGCAATTTCAAGGAAATAACGGCTCCGGTGTAGAAACCCGAGATTAATTGTCGTGGGGAACCGTTGCGCTGACCACATGACACCCTCTATCCACAAAAGTTAGCACTAACTTCGCCAACAAGCGGCGGTCGCTCGATCGGTATAGTTCGCCTGCGGACTGCAGACCATAGAGCTTGTTTTTTGAATCGCTTATTGCGAACATGTATAAACCAATACTAGCATAGCTGTGTACTTGTTTTCAGTGAGGCTAAAGGTTGAAAATAGCCATAGCACAAGAGGCGTTAATCTTGGAGACGATTCCAATATAAAATCCCATGGAAGAATAAGTCCCTTGGCAGCAGCTGTTTCAATATTTTCTCAGATCAGTACATTAGTGTTACATGTGTCAGCATGCATCTTTGGTGATTATTTATATCATGTGCGAAAACTGTTTCACACATTCCAACTAAGGTTTTGTAACGCGCTTCTCAGAGATTTAAGAAATTCAGCTGTTATGTTTTAGAGATGTAACAAAAAGCTTGCTTCTATCACAGTAGGACCTTCAAGGAATAAGTGAGTTATTATAATTTGTTAAAGTTTTTGCAATATGGCAATAAGGTGGAAATTATGAATTGCTATTCACATAAATCCTCGCAATTGCCAGGAAGCACCAATTTGTTAAAAAGCTTAGAATTCATTAAAATTGCACGTAGAGCTTGGATAGCGCAGTCGCTATAGCGACTGAATACCGGCTGGACAACCAAGGGGTCGGAGTTCGAGTCCCAGTGGGTGCAAGAATTTTCACTTCTCCATGCTGTCCAGACCGGCTCTGGGGCCCATCCAGCCTCATATTCAATGGGTACCGGTAGCTTTTCCCCTGTCGGTAAAACGACCGAAGCGTAAATCTGGCCACTCACCTCCAATTAATGCCGATGGCAAGAAATGTGGGTCTATACATCCACCCACCCCATAAGTCTTCATGGCGTAGTGCTTAATTAGTTAAGCACAGGGACCTTACTAACTTTCTTCTTCTTCTTCTTCTTCTTGGCACTACAGCCCCAGTGGGCCTAGGCTTACCTCCATGAACTTCTCCGTTCACTTCGGTTTCTCTAGATCTTACACATTCGGTAGGACTCCTTCGGCGGGTGATCAGCTCGTCGCAAGGCCTCTACCTGTACACAAACACAGAAAAGCGCACACACACAAACTACACATCCATGTCCTGAGTGGGCTTCGAACCCACGATCCCGGTTTCCAAGCGAGCAAAGACAGTACATGCCTTAGACCGCTGGGCTACCGTGACCGGCTTTACTAACTTTTACCTGTGGAAAACCCAGTGGGTTCATATCTACCAGTTGCTTTAACGTATTAAAGCTGTGCAATCTACCCACATAGTGCATTTGTGTGTTTCTTATGTTTCTCAATTAAAAAAAACTCCGTAGCGTTTAGTCCGCAAGCGAACTATATCGACCGAGCGACCGCCGCTTGTCTGCGAAGTTAGTGACAGCTTTGCGGACAGAGGGTTTCGCGTGCTCAGCGCAACGGATTCCTACGGCCGTTAATCTCGGTTTTCTAGACCGGAGCCGCTACTTTTCCATTCAAGTATCTCCTCAATTATCCTCACGAGGCTGAGTGGACCCCGTTCCAGACCCACTTCACAGAAAATCTGGTAGCGCCGGGAATCGAACCCGGGACCTCTGGCTCTGTAGTCAGGAATTCTGACCACAGGAGCGGTCTGGTCTCACAGTAAACAGCGTTAACCGGTTTATCAGTGTATCGTAGACAATGTGTTTCTTGTGAGCCACAAACTTAATTTTTACATAATTTTGAAGAAATTCGGTCTTCAGAGGGTTAGCAACATTCAATTCTTATCGTCATATTCTTTCTGCCATCGCGATATCAGGCACATGATTAAGAAAGAAAGCAAAGAAACTCAGTTGACGTTAGTGTCACTGTGACAGTGCAGTCAGCACAGTGACTGTTTGCTAAAGGACGACCGGGTTCCAATGCCCAGCGAGTGGAGGAGGTTTCTCTTCGACAGCCCATTCAGTCTTGTTCTGTAGGTCACTCAGCCTTCTTTACAAATGGCAAGGTAAGGTAAAGTTGTCCTTGTGCTTAATTAATTAAGCACTACGCCATGAAGGCGTGTGGGGGAGTGGAGGTATAGAATAACATTTTCTTGACCTCGACACTAGTTGGAGGTGAGTTGTGAGCTTCAGTCCCCGGCCGCTTTACCCCCGGGAAAGAGCTCCCGGTACCCATTGTATAGGAGGTTGTGTGGACCCCAGAGCCGGTCTGAACGACGTGGAGAAGTGAAAATTCTTGACCCTATCTACGACTCCGCCGTCCAGTCCGTAGCCAGTCGCTATCCCAGCTCATGGGTACAGGGCGTAAAGCGGACGGACCGTAAAGTTAATCGTCCAACCCTACCCAGTGTTGATGTTAAGAATGTGTCCACTCAACCATGGTCTTCACTGCGTGGTGCTAAGTAAAGCAGTATGGACAATTTTGTTCTCTTGATGCTACAATTGGATTCCGGTTTACATTTTTAAAGTCCACATAACGGTCGGAAGGTCAGAGTGCACATTTCACAGCTTTTCGACTAGGCTCAGCGCATGTTAGGTAATAAATGAATTTAAAGTACATGCCAAGCGTTATTCATCTACTGGCTACAAATGCCAAACACAATACTTGCCAGG